TTCTCTCCCTCACCCGCTCTCTCCCTCTCCATCTATCTCCCTCTCCTCTCTCTCCCTCCCGTCTCTCTCTCCATATCCTCCCCCCCTCCCCTTCTACTTTCTTCTAAACTTCAGTGGAAGGGTCGGATCCTCTCCACCCACCCATTTATCTCCCTTTATCACTCCCTTCTCTTTCTCTCTCTTTCTCTCTCTCTTCCTCTCTCTCTCTCTCCCTCCCCCATCCCGCTCTGCCCTCCTGACAAATCTTTTCACGGCACAAGTATAGGAACAGGGTCAAGCATGGCAGCCAGACGTGCCAAGGGAACAGGGAAGAGCCAAGGTGACGAAATGAAGGAAATGTTCGCCCAGTTTCTGGAGGACATCAAGAGTGAGATGCAAGAAATGATGCAGGAAATGAAGAAAGAAATAAGCAACCTGAAAAGAGAGCTGACAGCAGCAAAGGAGGAGATTAGAGCCCTCAAAGAGAATGGTATCGAGGCTGAGAATCAGAAAACCATCCAGGGAGAAGGTGGTAATAGTTTTCTGGATGAGAATGCCACAATAAAAGCAACATTTGCGGAAATACTAAAAAAAATAACTCTGAAGTAATGACTGCAGTGATGGAGGTGGCCATGAAAGCAGCCACCTCACAGGAGGCGGCACGCTCCACTTGCCAACTGCTGGAAAGGAACAGATCAGTGGTTGCTGTGGGTATTAAAGAGCAGGAAGGCTCTAATAGGTCAGAGTGGAATGACAAGGACAAAGCAGCAGTGAATGAAGTACTAAAGGCACTTGACATGGAAGGGGATGAGCATAGCATTGAGAAGGTTTTCAGGCTAGGCTGGTACAACAAAGACCGAGACCGAATGATAAAGATAGTGTTTGCAAACGAGAGCACAAAGGAGAAGATCCTATCAAGGAAGAGCTCTCTGAAAAACGTGGGAAAATTAAAAAATGTATTCCTCCAGAGAGACATGACAAGGGAGGAGAGAGCCGTGGCGGCAGAAGCAAGGAAGAGGCGCAGGGCGAGAGGGGAAAACCAGGAAGTCACAGCTCCCAACACAACACCCCCAGAAGCGAGGGGTGAACCCACAACCAGCTACCCAGTAACACCAGAAGGGAGGACAACCCCGCCTCCCTCCTCTGCATAGAAAACCCCCTTACCCCAAACCCTCCCTGCCCCCACTCAAATGTTCAGCCAAATCTCCCTCCCCCCACACCCAATCCCCACCCTTCTACCCCTCCCCTCCTCCCGAGTCCTCCCTCCCCCCCTTTCCTTCCCGTCCTCCCTCCCCTTTCACCCCATACCCTCCCTGTCCCTCCCCCTTCAGTGGATCCCCCGCCCCTCATCCCAGTATCCTCTGAGACCCTGTTATCCAACTCACAGGTCCTCACACCCATGGAACAGCCTCCCCCACCAGCAGACGATTCACCAGGGAGGCGATTTGAGAAGGGACAGAAGAAAGTGAGCCTCAAAGCGATGTACACTAACATAGATGGAATTACAAATAAAGCAAATGAGCTTGGAGAAAGGGTACTAGAGGAAAACCCAGACATAATAGCCCTCACAGAAACAAAGATCACGAAAACGATAACAAACGCAGTGTTCCCACAGGACTATTATGTTATGAGGAAAGAGAGGGAAGGAAGAGGTGGGGGTGGTGTAGCTCTGCTGGTAAGAAAAGCCTGGGATTTTGAGGAGATGGATATTCAGGGCTGTGAAGGTTTCAGTGACTACATAGCAGGTACCGTAACAAATGGAGGGAAAAAAATTATAGTCGTAGTCATATATAATCCACCACCAAATGACAGAAGACCTAGACAGGAATATGATAGAAATAACATGGCCACCATTAATACAATAGAAAGAGCAGCTTCTGTTGCTAGCAGGAATGGATCTGGACTACTAATTATGGGAGACTTCAACTATGGGAAGATAGATTGGAAGAACAGAGACCCGCATGGAGGACCAGAAACATGGAGGGCTAAGCTGCTGGACGTGGCAACAAGAAACTTTCTAAGCCAGCACACCAAAGAACCAACAAGAATGAGAGGAGAAGATGAACCAGCAATGCTTGATTTGATATTTACCCTAAATGAGTGGGATATAAGAGAAGTTAAGATGGAAGTGCCCTTGGGAATGAGTGACCAGAGTGTATTGAACTTTGAGTACCTGGTAGAGCTAGAACTTATCTCCCCCAAAAAAGAACTAGGAATCAAAAGGCTGGCATACCGAAAGGGAAATTATGAACAGATGAGAAGTTTCCTAAGTGAAATACCTTGGGACACAGACCTCAGAGACAAGTCTGTATAGGGTATGATGGACTATGTTACCCAAAAGTGTCAGGAGGCAGTAAACAGGTTCATCCCGGCCCAACGGGAAAAATCCGAGAAGCAACAGAAGAATCCATGGTATAATAGGGCATGTATGGAAGCGAAGAAACTGAACAAAAGGGTGTGGAGGAACTTCCGGAATAACAGAACACCAGAAAGCAGAGAGAGATACCAGAGAACCAGGAATGAGTACGTCAGAGTGAGAAGAGAAGCAGAGAAAAGTTTTGAAAATGATATAGCGAACAAAGCCAAGACCGAACCAAAGCTACTCCACAGTCACATCAGAAGGAAAACAACAGTGAAAGAACAGGTATTGAAACTTCAAACAGGCGAGGACAGGTATACAGAGAATGACAGAGAGGTGTGTGAAGAACTCAACAAGAGGTTCCAGGAGGTCTTCACAATAGAACAAGGTGAGGTCACTGTGCTAGGAGAAAGGGAGGTAAACCAGGCGGCCTTGGAAGAGTTCGAAATTACAAGAGAGGAGGTCAAGAGACACCTGCTGGATCTGGATGTTAGAAAGGCTGTTGGTCCAGATGGGATCTCACCATGGATACTGAAAGAGTGTGCAGAGGCACTTTGCTTGCCACTCTCCACAGTGTATAGTAAGTCACTGTAGACAGGAGACCTACCAGAAATATGGAAGATGGCGAATGTGGTCCCAATATACAAAAAGGGCGACAGGCAAGAGGCACTTAACTACAGGCCAGTGTTCTTGACTTGTATACCATGCAAGGTGATGGAGAAGATCGTGAGAAAAAACCTGGTAACACATCTGGAGAGAAGGGACTTCGTGACAAATCGCCAACATGGGTTCAGGGAGGGTAAATCTTGCCTTACAGGCTTGATAGAATTCTACGATCAGACGACAAAGATTAAGCAAGAAAGAGAGGGCTGGGCGGACTGCATTTTCTTGGATTGTCGGAAAGCCTTTGACACAGTACCGCATAAGAGGCTGGTACATAAGCTGGAGAGACAGGCAGGTGTAGCTGGTAAGGTGCTCCAGTGGATAAGGGAGTATCTAAGCAATAGGAAGCAGAGAGTTACGGTGAGGGGTGAGACCTCCGATTGGCGTGAAGTCACCAGTGGAGTCCCACAGGGCTCTGTACTCGGTCCTATCTTGTTTCTGATATATGTAAATGATCTCACAGAGGGTATCGATTCATTTCTCTCAATGTTTGCAGACGATGCTAAAATTATGAGAAGGATTAAAACGGAGAGGAGGATTAGAAGAAGACTGTTTGAGGCTTCAAGAAGACCTAGACAAGCTGAAGGAATGGTTGAACAAATGGTTGTTAGAGTTTAACCCAACCAAATGTAATGTAATGAAGATAGGTGTAGGGAGCAGGAAGCCAGATACAAGGTATCATCTGGGAGAGGAAATTCTTCAGGAGTCAGAGAAGGAAAAAGACTTGATGGTTGACATCACGCCAGACCTGTCTCCTGCAGCACATATCAAGCGGATAACATCAGCGGCATATGCCAGGCTGGCCAACATACGAACGGCATTCAGGAACTTGTGTAAAGAATCATTCAGAACTTTGTATACCACATATGTCAGGCCAATCCTGGAGTATGCAGCCCCAGCATGGAGTCCATATCTAGTCAAGGATAAGACTAAACTGGAAAAGGTTCAAAGGTTTGCCACCAGACTAGTACCTGAGCTGAGAGGTATGAGCTACGAGGAGAGACTACGGGAATTAAACCTCACTTCGCTGGAAGACAGAAGAGTTAGGGGGGGACATGATCACCACATTCAAGATTCTGAAGGGAATTGATAGGGTAGATAAAGACATTCTATTTAACACAAGGGGAACACGCACAAGGGGACACAGGTGGAAACTGAGTTCCCAAATGAGCCACAGAGATATTAGAAAGAACTTTTTTAGTGTCAGAGTGGTTGACAAATGGAATGCATTAGGAAGTGATGTGGTGGAGGCTGACTCCATACACAGTTTCAAGTGTAGATATGATAGAGCCCGATAGTCTCAGGAATCTGTACACCTGTTGATTGACGGTTGAGAGGCAGGACCAAAGAGCCAGAGCTCAACCCCCGCAAACACAACTAGGTGAGTACAACTAGGTGAGTACACACACACACACACGCACACACACACATATGCATATGTATATAAAGATGTAAATAAACAAATATTATAAACTTCTCTTCCTTAAATACACGAAGATTCAATGATATATATATTTAAATAACAGATTTACATTTAGTAATTTTCCTTAGGTGAAACCATTCAGTTTGATTTGAGTCTCTCAAATCAACAATCAATGTATTGCAGTCCACACCTGTTTTTATGTAATATTTGTTATTTTATTCACTGGTCAAGAGGTGTGCTTGTTTGTTCAACATAGAATTGAAAACAAGTGTTTCAGGGGACAGTGCAAATACAATCATTACCGTTTCTAGTGATTTTTTAATCAGTGCTCGACACTGATGTTATCTGTCTGTGATGCAAGAATAGTGTCAGTGTTGTTCGATTTATTGCCTGTCTGTGAGGCAAGTATGCCTTCTTAGTCTGTGACTCTGTTACCCGTCTGCAATGCAAGATTGGTTTGTGGCTCCATTACCTGTCTGTGAGGCAAAAATGATTTTCCAAGATGATAACAGATAACAGATGGTAACACTGTTACCATCCAAAGGCCGGTGCTGATACATAATTTGTGACTCTTACCTGTCTGTGAGGCAAGAGTGGTTTCCTGGTTGGTAACTGTTCAGACTGGAAGCAACGTCCCTGGTAGTGGGTGCTCCCTCCAGAACTCCATCCAACTCTCTCCTAACAACCTCTGATAACACATCAAACCATTTGTTTAAAACCTAAACAATTTTGTTAAAACATCAAAAATTATGTTAGGACATCAGAATTTTGTGTTAACATATCAAAACGTTGTGTTTAACACGTCAAAACTTTGAGTTAACATGTCACAACTTTGTGTTAACTCGTCAAAACATTTTGATAATACATCAGAGCTTTTGTTAACATGTCAAAACTTTGCATTAACATATCAAAACCAAAATATTTCGTTAACACATCAAAACATTCCATTAAAACATAAAAACATTCCGTTAACACTTCAAAACATTCCATTAACACATCAAAACATTCCGTTAACACTTCAAAACATTCCGTTAAAACAACAAAACATTCCGTTAACACTTCAAAACATTCCGTTAAAACAACAAAACAATCCGTTAAAACAACAAAACATTCCGTTAACACATCAAAACATTCCGTTAACACAACAAAACATTCCGTTAACACATCAAAACATTCCGTTAAAACAACAAAACATTCCGTTAAAACAACAAAACATTCCGTTAACACTTCAAAACATTCCGTTAAAACAACAAAACATTGCGTTAACACTTCAAAACATTCCGTTAAAACAACAAAACAATCCGTTAAAACAACAAAACATTCCGTTAACACAGCAAAACCTTCCGATAACATGTATGAATGAATGGCACATATGAATCCTTTGTCACCTAACGAGATTAGACACTTGTGGGAGTGATGGGGCTGTCATATATTGGTTAGGGTCGGCCCAATTGCCTCATTTTAAATTCGTTCGGTTCCAATTCCAACCTCAAAAAAGTTTTCAAATGTGTTTCACCCGCCCCAGAGCTTTTCAACTATTCATAATATTACCGCCTGGTACTAATAGTGTATTGACCTGAGAACCCCATGTTCTAATGGTAGATATAAACTCTGGGGACAGATAACACATACACAGTTAAATTTGTTGGCGTCGACCCGGGCCCCATCGCGTACTAATACACTTAGTGATATGTAAAACTCACGTCTGATAGCGATTTGCAGGCTGGGATTTCTAGCACTTAACTGAGGCATTCTTTTGTATGATTTCAATGACTGTAACCCCCCTTAATCTTATTTGTTATCTTCCCAACAGCAACAGGGGTCTTGATCTTCACTAATGCTGCCCACACTATAGTACAGTACAGTGTCACTAATGTTGAAATCATAAGTGTTACTACTGCTGCCCGCAATACAGTACAGAGACCCTTAGGTGAACCGGTCGGCCGAGCGGACAGCACACTGGACTTGTGATCCTGTGGTCCCGGGTTCGAAACCGGGCGCCGGCGAGAAACAATGGGCTGAGTTTCTTTCACCCTATGCCCCTGTTACCTAGCAGTAAAATAGGTACCTGGGTGTTAGTCAGCTGTCACGGGCTGCTTCCTGGGGGTGGAGGCCTGGTCGAGGACCGGGCCGCGGGGACATTAAAGCCCCGAAATCATCTCAAGATGACCTCAAGATCTCAAGATAACCAGTGTCACTAATGCTGCCCACACAACAGTACAGTGTCACTAATGCTGCCCACACAACAGTACAGTGTCACTAATGCTGCCCACAATACAGTACAGTGTCACTATTGCTGCCCACACAACAGTACAGTGTCACTAATGCTGCCCACAATACAGTACAGTGTCACTAATACTGCCCACACAACAGTACAGTGTCACTAATGCTGCCCATAGTACAGTGTCACTAATGCTGCCCACACAACAGTACACTGTCACTAATACTGCCCACACAACAGTACAGTGTCACTAATGCTGCCCACACAACAGTACAGTGTCACTAATACTGCCCACACAACAGTACAGTGTCACTAATGCTGCCCACACAACAGTACAGTGTCACTAATACTCCCCACACAACAGTACAGTGTCACTAATACTGCCCACACAACAGTACATTGTCACTAATGCTGCCCACACAACAGTACAGTGTCACTAATACTGCCCACACAACAGTACAGTGTCACTAATACTGCCCACACAACAGTACAGTGTCACTAATGCTGCCCATAGTACAGTGTCACTAATGCTGCCCACACAACAGTACACTGTCACTAATGCTGCCCACACAACAGTACAGTGTTAATAATGCTGTCTGACTGTAGTTCAGTCACTACAGCTGCCCACAAAACAGTACAGTGTCACTAATGCTGCCCATAGTACAGTGTCACTAATGCTGCCCACAATACAGTACACTGTCACTAATGCTGCCCACACAACAGTACAATGTTAATAATGCTGCCCACACTATAGTTCAGTCACTACAGCTGCCCACACAACAGTACAGTGTTACTAATACTGCACACACTACAGTAAATCGTAACTAATGCTGCCCACACTATAGTTCAGAGTCACTACAGCTGCCCATACTACAGTACAGTGTTACTAATGCTGCCTACACTACAGCACAGTGTCACTAATGCTAACCACACCACAGTACAGTGACACTAATGCTGGTCACACTACAGTACAGAGTCACCAATGCTGATCACACTGCAGTTCAGCGTCAACCCCCAGTACAGTGTCACTAATGCTGCTCACACTGTAACGGGGGGGAACAGCTCTCTTTAGTCCATTATCCCGCCCCCAGTTAGTTAACTATTCTAGAGTTCTCCCAGAATTCCTTCCACACCCTCTCCAGTTCAACACCTTGTGACCTAGGTATTTGATTACCTAGGTGTCACGACACAAGGCATTGGAACTTGATCAGCTACTCGTAACTCTAGAGAGAAACTCTAGAACATTTCACTGCCACAAACGTATAAGAGAACCGAAAGGGAAGAAATGGATAATGAAGAAATTAGTGAGGGTTTGGGGTGAGGGAGGTAGAGAGGTGGGAGGAGCGAGGAGGGTCGTCAGTTGAAAGGGAGAGTTTAGAGAGGGGCGGAGGGAGAGGAGAGAGAATACGGAGATGAGTGGAGGTAGAGGTAGAGGTAGAGGTAGAGGTAGAGGCAGAAGTAGAAAAGTAGATAGTAGAAGTAGTAGTGCTGCCACCATCCATTCTTGTCAGTACATACAAGACAAGGAATGGAACTTGTCTATATCACAAACTTCTCAAAGATGTTATCAAAAGGTCATAATTAGTATGTTTCATCTATATCATGTATCCTGTAAGATTCTTTAATTCAATAATCTCAAGAGTACTCTACACTCTAGTTTGCATATTGTATCCAAAAATACCAAATCTAGGAACAATTAAAATCAGATTAAAAGTAAGTGAATCAAGTATATATTTCTCAATAAATTCATCAATTATATTTATTTGGATAGATATCATAATTCAAGCAATCAAACTGAAGGTTCACTATTAATATACAACGTGAGTCATTACCCAAGAATTCGAGACCGCTACAACTGACTGTCCCTGATAGTCACACAACACTAGTAAACACGACTAAGTCACCTTCACGTTCAGTCACCGAGGACTGAGTCTAAGTTGACTAGAGAGGGGGGAGAGGGTCTGCAGTTGTCAGGCAGCGTCATCCTCCGTCCGGCCGACAGCCTATCTCGGTGGCTGTCCTCTGCTCTGCTCTGCTGGCTGTTCTCCTATTGCTTATTCTTCTCGAATCTACAGCTCCCTCAGTATATATTGGGAAACCTAGTAGCTAACTCCGCCCACAAGTAGATAGCCCCAGGCTCTCTACCAAGCCACTCCTTAAACGTCGGCATGTTTGAAGACTATCAGGCTACAATTATCTGATTAGCAGAAGCAAGGTGAAATTTGCATGAGCTGACCTCAGGTCAACTTGAGGTCATTAACGCTTAGAGGTGTGAGTTTGAGGCCGACAGAATAGCGCCTCTCAAATCCTTGTCTGTGACTCATGAACTATATATATATTTATTAAACAAAACTAACAAAACACCTTTACGGTGTTACAACACTACAGTACAGTGACACTAATGCTGATTACACTACAGTACAGTGTCATTAATGCTGATTACACTACAGTACAGTGTCACTAATGCTGATCACACTACAGTACAGTGTCACTAATGCTGATTACACTACAGTACAGTGTCACTAATGCTGATCACACTACAGTACAGTGTCACTAATGCTGATTACACTACAGTACAGTGTCACTAATGCTGATCACACTACAGTACAGTGTCACTAACGCTAACTCCACCACAGTACAGTGTCACTAATGCTGATTACACTACAGTACAGTGTCACTAATGCTGATTACACTACAGTACAGTGTCACTAATGCTGATCACACTACAGTACAGTGTCACTAACGCTAACCCCACCACAGTACAGTGTGATCAGCATTAGTGACACTGTACTGTAGTGTGATCAGCATATATATATATATATATATATATATATATATATATATATATATATATATATATATATATATATATATATATATATATATATATATATATATATATATATATATATATATATATATATATATATATATATATATATATATATATATATATATATATATATATATATATATATATATATATATATATATATACCAGTTGTGTTGATTATCAAGCCGTATGTGGCTTGATAATCACATACGGTGATAATGATAAACACATTATCACATACGGCTTGATAATGATCGAGGACTGACCGAAACGTCGTCGTTTCTCCATCTTCTGTTGTGCGGTTTGGTCACCATAAATGTGTTGGTTTAACATTCTGGGTAATGAAGTCTCCATGGATACATCCTCGTAGTAAACTTTCACTCTTGTAAAGATATATGAGAATACTTTCCCTCTTATCATGTCTTTAAAGCTTACTCTCACTGTTACCAAGTCTGAAGGGCATACTTTTACTCTTATTATTACTAAAAACCATACTTTTACTCTTATTATTACTAAAAACCATACTTTTACTCTTACACTGTCTTAAGACATACTTCCACTCTTACCATGACTGAACAGCATCGTTCACTCGTGCCATGTCTTAAGAGCATACTTACACTCGTGCCATGTCTTAAGAGCATACTTACACTCGTGCCATGTCTTAAGAGCATACTTACACTCGTGCCATGTCTTAGGAGCATACTTACACTCGTGCCATGTCTTAAGAGCATACTTACACTCGTGCCATGTCTTAAGAGCATACTTACACTCGTGCCATGTCTTAGGAGCATACTTACACTCGTGCCATGTCTTAAGAGCATACTTACACTCGTGCCATGTCTTAGGAGCATACTTACACTCGTGCCATGTCTTAAGAGCATACTTACACTCGTGCCATGTCTTAGGAGCATACTTACACTCGTGCCATGTCTTAGGAGCATACTTACACTCGTGCCATGTCTTAGGAGCATACTTACACTCGTGCCATGTCTTAGGAGCATACTTACACTCGTGCCATGTCTTAGGAGCATACTTACACTCGTGCCATGTCTTAGGAGCATACTTACACTCGTGCCATGAGCATACTTACACTCGTGCCATGTCTTAGGAGCATACTTACACTTGTGCCATGTCTTAGGAGCATACTTACACTCGTGCCATGTCTTAGGAGCATACTTACACTCGTGCCATGTCTTAGGAGCATACTTACACTCGTGCCATGTCTTAGGAGCATACTTACACTCGTGCCATGTCTTAGGAGCATACTTACACTCGTGCCATGTCTTAGGAGCATACTTACACTCGTGCCATGTCTTAAGAGCATACTTACACTCGTGCCATGTCTTAGGAGCATACTTACACTCGTGCCATGTCTTAAGAGCATACTTACACTCGTGCCATGTCTTAGGAGCATACTTACACTCGTGCCATGTCTTAGGAGCATACTTACACTCTCACGATGTCTCAAGAACAAACTTTCACTCTAACATTGATCATATTTTCACTCGTGCAAAGTATTAGGATCATATTTTCACTCTCACAACATCTTGGGAGCGAAATTAACAAATGGAAGCAATTATCAGATTATAATTATTTTACTTCATCCTGGGGACACATTACCACTGGCTTCATCCTGGGGACACATTACCACTGACTTCATCCTGGGGACACATTACCACTGGCTTCATCCTGGGGACACATTACCACTGGCTTCATCCTGGGGACACATTACCACTGGCTTCATCCTGGGGACACATTACCACTGACTTCATCCTGGGGACACATTACCACTGGCTTCATCCTGGGGACACATTACCACTGGCTTCATCCTGGGGACACATTACCACTGGCTTCATCCTGGGGACACATTACCACTGGCTTCATCCTGGGGACACATTACCACTGGCTTCATCCTGGGGACACATTACCACTGACTTCATCCTGGGGACACATTACCACTGGCTTCATCCTGGGGACACATTACCACTGGCTTCATCCTGGGGACACATTACCACTGGCTTCATCCTGGGGACACATTACCACTGGCTTCATCCTGGGGACACATTACCACTGGCTTCATCCTGGGGACACATTACCACTGGCTTCATCCTGGGGACACATTACCACTGGCTTCATCCTGGGGACACATTACCACTGGCTTCATCCTGGGGACACATTACCACTGACCTCATCCTGGGGACACATTACCACTGGCTTCATCCTGGGGACACATTACCACTGGCTTCATCCTGGGGACACATTACCACTGGCTTCATCCTGGGGACACATTACCACTGGCTTCATCCTGGGGACACATTACCACTGGCTTCATCCTGGGGACACATTACCACTGGCTTCATCCTGGGGACACATTACCACTGACATCATCCTTGAGACACATTACCACTGGCTTCATCCTGGGGACACATTACCACTGACATCATCCTTGAGACACATTACCACTGACTTCATCCTGGGGACACATTACCACTGACATCATCCTGGAGACACATTACCACTGACATCATCCTGGAGACACATTACCACTGACATCATCCTGGAGACACATTACCACTGACATCATCCTGGAGACACATTACCACTGACATCATCCTGGAGACACATTACCACTGACATCATCCTGGAGACACATTACCACTGACATCATCCTTGAGACACATTACCACTGACTTCGTCCTGGGGACACATTACCACTGACATCATCCTGGAGACACATTACCACTGACATCATCCTGGAGACACATTACCACTGACATCATCCTGGAGACACATTACCACTGACATCATCCTGGAGACACATTACCACTGACATCATCCTTGAGACACATTACCACTGACTTCATCCTGGGGACACATTACCACTGACATCATCCTTGAGACACATTACCACTGACTTCATCCTGGGGACACATTACCACTGACATCATCCTTGAGACACATTACCACTGGCTTCATCCTGGGGACACATTACCACTGACTTCATCCTGGGGACACATTACCACTGACATCATCCTTGAGACACATTACCACTGACATCATCCTGGGGACACATTACCACTGACATCATCCTGGGGACACATTACCACTGACATCATCCTGGAGACACATTACCACTGACATCATCCTGGAGACACATTACCACTGACTTCATCCTGGGGACACATTACCACTGACATCATCCTGGGGACACATACCTCTGAGAGTGTCGTGAAGGGACGTTCGCTCCTCCCTTATCATTGCTGCCAGTTCTGTGGAAAAGTTTGTCTAGATTATTATAAAAGTTTTACCAAAGCTCGCAAAATATTCGTAATTAATCCTCAAGACGAGGGAACACTTTTAACATAAATATGCAAAATCCACTTTTGCTGGTGAAACAAAATTAAAGGGAAAACATGTAATTACAAAATGAATATTTTGTTCTTTTACCTAAAAAAAAAACAATATCGGAATGAATGACTTATGATACAAATGTATATCTACTGTGTTTATTCAGAATGGGTGTGTGTGTATTCACCTAGTTGTGCTTGCGGAGGTTGAGCTCTGCTTTTTCGGTCCGCCTCTCAACTGTTAAACAACTGTTACTAACTAATATATTTTTTTCCACACCACACACACACACACACACACACCCAGGAAGCAGCCCGTGACAGCTGACTAACTCTCAGGTACCTATTTACTGCTAAGTATCAGGGGCACTAGGGTGAAAGAAACTCTGCCCATTGTTTCTCGCCGGCGCCCGGAATCGAACCCGGGACCACAGGATCACGGTCCAGCGTGCTATCCGCTCAGCAACCAGCCACCCGTGTATGTGTGTGTATTGACCTAGTTGTATTGACCTAGTTGTGTTTGTGGGGGTTGAGCTTTGCTCTTTCGGCCCGCCTCTCAACTGTCAATCAACTGTTTACTAACTATTTTTTTCCACACAACAGACACACCCAAGGAAGCAGACCGTGACAGCTGACTAACTCCCAGGTACCTATTTACTGCTAGGTAACAGGAGCATTCAGGGTGAAAGAAACTTTGCCCATATGTTTCTGACTGGCGCGGCAATCGAACCCGCGCCACAGAATTACGAGTCCGGCGCGCAATCCACCAGGCTACCAGGCCCCCGTCCACCAGGCAACCAAGCCCATAGGTGTGTGTGTGTGTGTGTGTGTGTGTGTGTGTGTACTCACCTAATTGTACTCACCTAATTGTGCTTGCGAGGGTTGAACTCTGGCTCTTTGGTCCCACCTCTCAACCGTCAATCAACTGGTGTACAGATTCTAGAGCCTACTGGGCTCTATCATATCTACACTTGAAACTGTGTATGGAGTCAGCCTCCACCACATCACTGCCTAATGTGTTCCATCTGTTAACTACTCTGACACTGAAAAAGTTCTTTCTAATGTCTCTGTGGCTCATTTAGGTACTCAGTTTCCACCTGTGTCCCTATGTTTGCGTACCACCTATGTTAAACAGATTATCTTTACCTACCCTGTCAATTCCTCTGAGAATTTTGTACGTAGTGATCATGTCTCCCCTTACTCTTCTGTCTTCTAGTGAGGTGCATTTCTCGCAGCCTGTTCTTGTAACTCATGCCTCTTAATTCTGGGACTAGCCTAGTGGCATGTCTTTGAACTTTTTCAAGCTTCGCCTTGTGCTTGACAAGGTACGGGTTCCATGCTGGGGCCGCATACTTCATAGACACATGTGTACTCACCTAATTGTGCTTGCGGGGGTTGAGCTCTGGCTCTTTGGTCCCGCCTCTCAACCGTCAGTCAACAGATGAATGTGTGTGTGTGTGTGTGTACTCACCTAGTTGTGTTTGCGGGGGTTGAGCTCTGGCTCTTTGGTCCCGCCTCTCAACCGTCAATCAACAGGTGTACAGATTCCTGAGCCTATCGGGCTCTGTCATATCTACACTTGAAACTGTGTATGGAGTCAGCCTCCACCACATCACTTCCTAATGCATTCCATTTGTCAACCACTCTGACACTAAAAAAATTCTTTCTAATATCTCTGTGGCTCATTTGGGCACTCAGTTTCCACCTGTGTCCCCTTGTGCGTGTTCCCCTTGTGTTAAATAGACTGTCTTTATCTACCCTATCAATCCCGTTCAGAATCTTGAATGTGGTGATCATGTCCCCCCTAACTCTTCTGTCTTCCAGCGAAGTGAGGTTTAATTCCCGTAGTCTCTCCTCGTAGCTCATACCTCTCAGCTCGGGTACTAGTCTGGTGGCAAACCTTTGAACCTTTTCCAGTTTAGTCTTATCCTTGACTAGATATGGACTCCATGCTGGGGCTGCATACTCCAGGATTGGCCTGACATATGTGGTATACAAAGTTCTGAATGATTCTTTACACAAGTTTCTGAATGCCGTTCGTATGTTGGCCAGCCTGGCATATGCCGCTGATGTTATCCGCTTGATATGTGCTGCAGGAGACAGGTCTGACGTGATATCAACCCCCAAGTCTTTTTCCTTCTCTGACTCCTGAAGAATTTCCTCTCCCAGATGATACCTTGTATCTGGCCTCCTGCTCCCTACACCTATCTTCATTACATTACATTTGGTTGGGTTAAACTCTACCAACCATTTGTTCGACCATTCCTTCAGCTTGTCTAGGTCTTCTTGAAGCCTCAAACAGTCCTCTTCTGTTTTAATCCTTCTCATAATTTTAGCATCGTCCGCAAACATTGAGAGAAATGAATCGATACCCTCCGGGAGATCATTTACATATATCAGAAACAAGATAGGACCGAGTACAGAGCCCTGTGGGACTCCACTGGTGACTTCACGCCAATCGGAGGTCTCACCCCTCACCGTAACTCTCTGCTTCCTATTGCTTAGATACTCCCTTATCCACTGGAGCACCTTACCAGCTACACCTGCCTGTCTCTCCAGCTTATGTACCAGCCTCTTATGCGGTACTGTGTCAAAGGCTTTCTGACAATCCAAGAAAATGCAGTCCGCCCAACCCTCTCTTTCTTGCTTAATCTGTGTCACCTGATCGTAGAATTCTATCAAGCCTGTAAGGCAAGATTTACCCTCCCTGAATCCATGTTGGCGATTTGTCACGAAGTCCCTTCTCTCCAGATGTGTTACCAGGTTTTTTCTCACGATCTTCTCCATCACCTTGCATGGTATACAAGTCAAGGACACTGGCCTGTAGTTCAGTGCCTCTTGTCTGTCGCCCTTTTTGTATATTGGGACCACATTCGTCGTCTTCCATATTTCTGGTAGGTCTCCCGTCTCTAGTGACTTACTATACACTATGGAGAGTGGCAAGCAAAGTGCCTCTGCACACTCTTTCAGTACCCATGGTGAGATCCCATCTGGACCAACAGCCTTTCTAACATCCAGATCCAGCAGGTGTCTCTTGACCTCCTCTCTCGTAATTTCGAACTCCTCCAAGGCCGCCTGGTTTACCTCCCTTTCTCCTAGCAAAGTGACCTCACTCTGTTCTATTGTGAAGACCTCCTGGAACCTCTTGTTGAGTTCCTCACACACCTCTCTGTCATTCTCTGTATACCTGTCCTCGCCTGTTCTAAGTTTCAATACCTGTTCTTTCACTGTTGTTTTCCTTCTGATGCGACTGTGGAGTAGCTTTGGTTCGGTCTTGGCTTTGTTTGCTATATCATTTTCAAAATTTTTCTCTGCTTCTCTTCTCACCCTGACGTACTCATTCCTGGTTCTCTGGTATCTCTCTCTGCTTTCTGGTGTTCTGTTATTCCGGAAGTTCCTCCACGCCTTTTTGTTCAGTTTCTTCGCTTCCATACATGCCCTATTATACCATGGATTCTTCTGTTGCTTCTCGGATTTTTCCCTTTGGGCCGGGATGAACCTGTTTACTGCCTCCTGACACTTTTGGGTAACATAGTCCATCATACCCTGTACAGACTTGTCTCTGAGGTCTGTGTCCCAAGGTATTTCACTTAGGAAACTTCTCATCTGTTCATAATTCCCCTTTCGGTATGCCAGCCTTTTGATTCCTAGTTCTTTTTTGGGGGAGATAAGTCCTAGCTCTACCAGGTACTCAAAGTTCAATACACTGTGGTCACTCATTCCCAAGGGCGCTTCCATCTTAACTTCCCTTATATCCCATTCATTTAGGGTAAATATCAAATCAAGCATTGCTGGTTCATCTTCTCCTCTCATTCTTGTTGGTTCTTTGGTGTGCTGGCTTTGAAAGTTTCTTGTTGACACGTCCAGCAGCTTAGCTCTCCATGTTTCTGGTTCTCCATGCGGGTCTCTGTTCTTCCAATCTATCTTCCCATGGATGAAGTCTCCCATAATTAGTAGTCCATATCCATTCCTGCTAGCAACAGAAGCTGCTCTTTCTATTATGTTAATGGTGGCCATGTTGTTTCTATCATATTCCTGTCAAGGTCTTCTGTCATTTGGTGGTGGATTATATATGACTGCGACTATAATTTTTTTTCCCTCCATTTGTTACAGTACCTGCTATGTAGTCACTGAAACCTTCACAGCCCTGAATATCCATCTCCTCAAAATCCCAGCCTTTTCTTACCAGCAGAGCTACACCACCCCCACCTCTTCCTTCCCTCTCTTTCCTCATAGCATAATAGTCCTGTGGGAACACTGCATTTGTTATCGTTTTCGTGATCTTTGTTTCTGTGAGGGCTATTATGTGTGGGTTTTCCTCTAGTACCAGTTCTCCAAGCTCATTTGCTTTATTTGTAATTCCATCTATGTTAGTGTACATCGCTTTGAGGCTCACTTTCTTCTGTCCCTTCTCAAATCGCCTCCTTGGTGAGTGTTCTGCTGGTGGGAGAGGCTGTTCCATGAATGTGAGGACCTGTGAGGTGGATAACAGGGTCTCAGAGGATACTGGGATGAGGGGCGGGGGATCCAGTGAAGGGGGAGGGACAGGGAGGGTATGGGGTGAAAGGGGAGGGAGGACTGGAAGGAAAGGGGGGGAGGGAGGACTCGGGAGGAGGGGAGGGGTAGAAGGGTGGGGATTGGGTGTGGGGGGAGGGAGATTTGGCTGAACATTTGAGTGGGGGCAGGGAGGGTTTGGGGTAGGGGTGTTTTCTATGCAGAGGAGGGAGGCGGGGTTGTCCTCCCTTCTGGTGTTACTGGGTAGCTGGTTGTGGGTTCCCCCCTCGCCTCTGGGGGTGTTGTGCTGGGAGCTGTGACTTCCTGGTTTTCCCCTCTCGCCCTGCGCCTCTTCCTTGCTTCTGCCGCCACGGCTCTCTCCTCCCTTGTCATGTCTCTCTGGAGGAATACATTTTTTAATTTTCCCA